ATTTAGCTTCCTACATTCTACATCCTAGCTTACCTCTCTACTTCATATTCATGATCCCCCGGATTCGGAACGACTTACACATCTAGTTTTCCACCTTGTAACACGTGTTCTGTCCCTTGTCTCTGTCGCCAATATGACTTTCATTTGGGGCCGCCGGACCAGTAGTCCGGAGTGTCGACCGGACGAAGGCGTCTCAAGAAGACGGTTCTCGATGAGATCACGACGTGGGAGGAAAGAAACTAGGGTAGAAATATCTACCCAGACCTCACAGTAAGTTTCCACCTAGTCAACTCACATCTTCGTTATGTTTCTGATATCCTGTGGGGCTTGCAGAATGCGGGAAATAGACTGCTTAGAGATACGCCATTATCCCAAATTTGATCCTAAGGATCCCAGGCACAACTCAGCCCTCTTGGTTAAGAAGAATAAAGGTAAGGGGATCTGGGCCTTCTTTACCCAGTCAGTAAAGCAACGACTTTACGGCTCCCTCAGACCTAGGAAGCCTGTAGCCAAATCTCCAAGTTGCCCACAAAAGCCCCGCCGGAGCATACGGTTAAGTTTATCAGTGACGGCCTCACGGCTTGTGAAACGTTCGCGCTCAGGTAAAGCTCCAAAACCACATCTGAACTCAATTTGGCCCCCTCAAATCACGAGCCACATTGGGCCACACGAGCCAGTGCACTCCTGTTGGTCAGACCAAATCGACGATTCCCAGGATCTGGATATTCCCGGCCCTTCCGCTGTTCCCGGGCAGTTCCTTCTGCCATCACTGTCATCCATGTCATCAGGGCTGATTTCCCCCTTAGAATTGGAAGCTTGCATGTCCAACGCACATACAGAGCAGGAGATTTCCCTCCGTCAAATGAATATTCGTCGGTTTCATGCATTCGATCCGACTCACGATCCCTATCTCACTGTGAAGACTGCTCTCTCCTCCCTGGCTAATGGTCACGCCCTAACTCAGTCGTATCAGGGATATGAAAATGTTTCAGATTGCAATGAGCTTCCTGAGGCTCGCGTTCCAGCCATTCCAAATGAAAATGCCTGCCATGACCGGGTTTTGGATCCCATATCCGAAAGAGATGGTTCGCCGGGGCCTGTGACTCCAAAACGTCCCCCTATCTGCGAACAAGCTCTTGGGGTAAATGAAGGAGACATTGAGAAACTGTCTGCTTCGATAAGCAAACGAATGCATTCTCAGTCATCCAACCCTACTAACTGGAGAGTAAAGGAACTGAGTACCACGACTGAATCCGAGAAAAGTGGCCCAAAACCCCCGCCTCTCTTAGACCTGGGTGAGAGCTGGCTAGAAATCCGAAATGAACAAGAACAATCGCGCGTAGCAAGTACAGGGATTTCACAACCTAGCACAGCTACTGATTCCGAATTTGGAGTAGATATCTACCGCACGTCCGCGAATCAACAATATACTTCTTCTCCAAGGAGTGATGGTAACCTTATGACCTGGCTATCATCGTTGTCAAGCGCCACTCACACGCGCGACAATACAGACGTTTCTAGAAGCACCCTATGCCGTTCCATTTCACCCTCAGCAAGGAACCAGAACTCATCTAAACCAACGGAATCATTCCTAGAATTGAATGTACGTGAAAAGGGTGCAAGCCCTGAGAAGCGTTCTCCCGGATCCGATATACGGCAATATAGTGGATTGATGCTTCGCGATAAAGTTGCAGGTAACAACCGCCAAGATGCGCCCTCTATATCCAACTCTCGGTCTGGAGAACCTCTAGAACTCACCAGCAATGGGAAACCTTCCGACAGCACATCAGGAACAAGCCCTTTCCCAGAGCTTAGCATGCCTTTTGAGATGCCTAAATCCCACCCTAACCTCCAGAATAACTCTGCACATACCCCAGAACAGCTTTCAATCATCCTAAGAGAACATCTGTGCGAAAGCAATCCTGAAACGTGTCTCGACAAGACAACATTCTGGTCCACATCGATTGATTCATGTATGGAAAACTCTAATCCAAATCATCCCGAACCAGGGAACACCATCGTGCCTTGTCAGTGCGTTGATGGATACAACAAAAAATATTATGAGAGCCCCAATTTGAATACAGAAAGCCAACACACAACATCCTCTCTCGCAACGATAACCAAAGCTCCCAGTCAAAGTGAAACCGCACAGGCAACAGCTGCTTGCCAAGACACAACAAAAAATCTCATGACCTCCATCAACAAACCACTTCACCTGCCTGCCAAAAACCAATCTCCTGACGCCGGAGAACGACCAGTCAACTGTATTTCCAGTGATAGCGATTCCAAAACCTTCCCCAGTCGCAAAGATGGATCAAGCAGTGGATCCGGATCCGGATCAGGATCAGGATCAGGCTCTGGCGGATCAGGTCAAAGTGATCCTCTGACGAATAGTACGGCTGCGACCAGCGTTGTTGATCTTGAAGGCGATCAGAGTGTTATTTTAAAGGCGAAACCCGAGGGGACACCTTTTATTTCCGAATTAGGCGGAGTGACTGTGGAAATCGGTGATGTGGTATCATAAAATCCTCGACTATTGTTTAATGGCGGCATGGAGAAGTGCGTGTTGGTGGTGCCTTCTTTCCATCTTTGATTGGAACAAAAGTTTTTTCGATTTCATCCTTGATTTAATAGTTCTTTACGTCTTTCTCTTCTTCCCTGTTCCAGGTTTCCATTTTCCTCTTTCCCTGTTTTTGCTTCCTCTTGTCAACGCCCCCGGGTTTTGCAAAGCCCATCCTCGTACCTCTATAGAGTTATATGTTTGTCTTAAATTTATGATTGTTTTACCCCTTATAGCGTACCGTTGTTATTGACTCATTCCGCAGGCGTTCAAGAAGAAGTCTGATGTTTGTATGATTACAAGCAATGATTAAAGGCAAAAGCTAATATGTACTATTGATATTAACAGTGTAATATGATATAATTCTAACGTAATGACTTAATATAACGTTTCCTGCGTAGTACATTACATTCCCCTATCTGCTCCCGGTGGAACGCAAGAAATTTACGTCATCTCCCATTAACGCTAAACCCAATTGGAAGAATACTTACCTAATTAGGTAATTTTATTTCCAAATTTGGTTTAGCACAGCAACCAGCGAGCAGACTTAACTGTGTTGTTCCTGTAGTCGCCACAGGAATATTTCGGAACCACACAAGCTACGATATGGCACTGGAAATGCAATGGCCAAATTGAGGGCAGAGAAACAAAGAGTAAAAGAAGAGGGTTTGGAAGCAGTGGGGCTAAAGCGAGACAATATGTTCCAACCTTCACGGGCACTCCCTCATTGAATGCAAGGCCAAGTCCCGTCCAGATACGTAGCTACAAGGTGTCAAACAGCAGGCAGTTGAGAGGAAGAAACCTTAAAGAACGGAGGGTAGTGAAAGGATCTGGATTTAGTTTACAAAATAACCAAACAGGGAAAGGAGAATACGGACTTGTTGCTCAAGCAAATCGAGCACAGTGAAAAAAGGGAGGAGTAATCTTTTTCCTTTTACCCATCCATCTAATCAGGAAAGGTAAAAGAGGGGCGGGGAGGGAGGAAACGAGAAGAATGGCAAGTGGTTAAATCTGTTCACCTTTTTGAAATATGATTTTATTAGAAGGGGAGGGAATAAGCAAGGCACAGGAACGGAAACGGAAAACCGTTAAGAAGAAAAATACAGAGTAGAATTATTATAATAAGAACCCCGAAGTACTTCGCAAATATTTAGTTAGACATTTAGAGAAAAGGAACAAGTGACACACGGAGCAAAAGCAATACCTAATAAATAGTAAAGGAAGAGGGATGGAGAATATGAAGCAGAGGAAAGCAGAAGATAAGTGAAAAACACAACTGAGTTAGCTGTATGGAAACAACTCGAGCAGTAACACGAAACATGGGACATGGATACAGACATCGACACGGAATGGAGAGACAGAGACAAAAATAATGTATTTTAATCAATTCAGCTGGAAAGTGAGGGAGGGAAAAAGAAAAAAAAAAGAGGTGAAAGCAAACCAAGTGAGAGCAAGCAGAGCATCATCGCCATGCAAATGCAAAGCTGTCAGTCAGCAGGGCTAAAAACAGAATGGAAAATAGTCTGGCCCTTTGAAACAACAGTAGAAAAAAGGAGAAAATCAAAAAAAAAAAAAGGGTGTTTAAAATCAGGATTAAAACTTCCCGGGTATTCTTCCTTAATTTTTTTCTTTTTCAAGGTTTGTTGTAAAGAAAAAAAAAAAAAATCTCAAATCAAAACACGTTTTGCTATCTGCACCATCATCACCGATCCTCGCATTACCCCAGTCCCTCCGCCCCTAATCTTCCATCGTTTGTTCTTCGAGATCCCCTCAACTTTTCAAATGTGATGCTTTGCAATCTTGAAAGAGTGGTCATCAAGGTGAAAAATTCGCTTTGCTTTTCTTACTTCTCTTCCGCTGTCTTCCTTCTAATTTTCATCACATATATCCCTCCCAATGGAAGAATCCGTTTTTTCTCTTCATGTTTCCCCAAACAAAATGAGTAAAAAACCATCGCGCCATGAACTTTTGGGCTTTTTTCTTTCTCGTTGCGGTAAAAGCCAGCATAATACAAAGTTAAGGTGTGTTTTTGTGTGTGTGTGTGTGTGTGTGTGTGTGTGTGTGTGTGTGTGTATCGTCTATAATTAGTATTGTTGTCGGAAAAAAAGGTGTGGCGTGGGAAAAGGTTCAACGAATTTAAGATGCAGTCTCCTTTGCTGGTGATTTTGACCGTTCAACGGCGGGTTGGGACTTGACCATGGGAGGGGATGACGGGTTGGATGGAGGCGATGTAGCCATACTATCTTCAGTATTCAAAGCGGCCAGAGCACTGGGGCCGTCGAAAGAAAAGGTGGGAAGAAACAAGTTAGCCATTCCGGTCCGTTATGTGGAATATACGTAAATCCAAATCCAACCAGGAACATAAAAGTCCTAGGGGTGGTGGAGGTGTTCTGTTGGGAGGTTGGGGGGAGAATATCTGGGGATCTAGGGACTGCAATCCTCACCTGAATGCATTTATTGAGGATGCAGCCTCCTTGTCGTCCTTTTTATCTTTTCCACCTGGCGGTGTGCCTGTTCGGGAACTAGCTCCACTGTCCTCGCTGCCACGGACTAAGCTACCACCAGGTCCCAGATTTCTGCGGCCACTGTTGCTCCGGGCACCAAACATGCTGGACGGTCCGAAGGATACGGGTTGGTTGGTATTCCTGGTCGTTTTTAGGCGGCGGAGATCATCACTGCCAACTTTGCTGGAGGCAAAGTCTGGAGGAGGAGCTTGATTGCCATATCCACCAGAGAAGTTTCGTGAGTCACCACGACTCATTGGCATTCGTCCGCCTCTGTTTGCTTGTTGGCGCATGCGTTCCATTTCTTGCTCTTGTTGGGCACGGGCAGCCTAATAAATGCGATATTGTCAGCGAGTAAAGCTTCGAATCAATCGTGTTCAAATGGCGTATACTAACCGCTTCTCTAATCTCAACAATAGTCTTAGGACCCTTGTCACCATCTTTCGACACCCAACCAGCTTTCCGTAGATCGACAATGTCCTATAAAGTTTATTAGCATTAGACCAAGATAAAAATAAATAAAAAAGGCTGTAGAAAATTTTCCAGAGTTAAGACATACCATAAGCATGAACTTCAGCCGACTAGCCAGGCCAGGGCTCTCCATCATCATATTAATCCGCACAAAATACGCATCCATCATACCATGGCCCTTCTCAGAATTATCAAGACTATACCCAATAGTCCTCAGCAGACTCGTCAAGCTCTCCACCTCAGCTTCTTCAGGAACACCATCATAATCCACCAACTTCTTCACGCACTGGTGCATGATGCGCTCAGTCAACATGCCAAGTTTGTACAATTCACCAATAAACTTGACAAGACCGAGACCACGACGTTTCGCCGCAGCGGCAGCATAATATTCATCAGACAGCATGACAGCTTCCTCTGTGGCACCTTCAGGTTTCTCGGGGAGGTTGATCTTCCAACCCCGTTCGAATTCCTCCTGACAGCGATTGAGGAGGTATTTCCGGAACAAGCTACCACCAGTAACAACATTGCCTTGCTTATCGCGGATATTCTGATCTTTGATTTCGGGACTCATGCTATCGAGCATTCGCTTGCAGAATTTGGCGTACATGGGAGCCCAGTGAGCTTCATCCGTGGCCTTTTCAAAGGTCAGCTGGATGACTTGTCGGAGCGTGCGGCCATCAGATTCATCTTTGGACTGTCCCACAATTTCCAAAATCTGGTCAGAAATCCGATCGAACTTCTCAGGCGTCATCTTGTTCAAGTTGGCTTTGACCTTCCGCTGCACGACGTCGGGAGGCATGTGTCCGTCACCACCAAGAGCAGGGCCGGAAAGATTCTGTCCCACGCTCCGCGGCTTCCAGCCACTCTGAGAAGGAACCAATGGCTTAATATCCAAGCCAGCGGTGAGAGGCATGGCCTTGTTGTGAGTTTCCTCTTCCTTCTTAGATACTTTATCCCGCTTGCTTCCTGAACGAGTACCGCGGTGACTGGCAGTACGCGGGGACGGTATCTGCTGCATGGTCGAAGAGCTGCTACGACTCATGGGCAAGCCACTTATAGGCATCCCACTAGGACCACGGGCGAAGTGTCCAAAGGGGTTAGCCATGGATGGAGCATGGACAGTACCCGCCATTGGGAATCCATCCCGACCCATACCCCCAGAAGGTAATGTTTGTGCGCGTCCAGGAGCTTGACCAAATTTACCCATGGGGTTGGGGAAAGCACCTTGAATACCAGGACGAGATGACGTTCGGCCACCACTCACGATAGGAGTTCGCGCAGATCCAGGACGCGATGAACTATCCGTACTATCTCCAACGGTCTCTCGAACGCGACTGTCCCAGTCTATTGATGGCTTCTCCTTAAAGACAGACTGGAATTGAAGTAGGAATTCTTTGTTGTATTTGAATTTCCGGTCAACTGGAGCATTGGCGTTGAGAGCGGGATTAGGTGAAACGATAGCAGGTGGGTAGGTAATCTTGCTGGGGTCTTCAAGGAACCGAGCGGTTTGGAGTGATTTCATAGCAGCGCTGGGTTGAGGTGGCTCAACCGTTTTGGTAGTCTCTAATTTCAATGCAGCTGGCTTGTTGTCACGCTTTCCACCACTGGCTGGCTTAGGTGGGGGTGGCCCCATCGAGATATCTGATACTGGAGTTGCAGCTCCGCTTTCCGCAGGGGTTCGAATGACGGGGCTCTCAGCTGCGGATGTAGGAGATTGGGCACCTTTCTGCTTGAGGGAGGCAAACAAATCGGTCCGGTCCTTCCTGGAACCATCCTCTTCACCAAGTTCAAGTTTCTTCATTCGAGCCTCTTCTGCAGCCTCCGCTTCCAGTTCAGCTTTCTTAAGATTGGCGAGGTAAGCCTCCTGCTCCTCTTTCTCCTTGCGGGCCTTCTCCTCTTGTTGCTTCTTCTTCTTTTCTGCGTAGGCCTTCTCAGCTGCAGCTTCTTTCTCAGCTAGCTCTCTTTCGAGAGCATCCCAATCAATCTCATCTTCAGCTGGTGCAGCCGGCTCAGCAGGGTTTGGTGCTTCCGCCTTGCTTGTTTCCTTGGCTGCTGATTCCTTCTGCTCTACTTCCTTCTCCTTCTCTTGGGCAGCAGACTTCTCAGTTTCTTCCGCAGCCTTCTTCGCTTCCGACTCCTCACGGGCTTTAGCTTCCGCCTCCTCCTTTTCCTTTCGTAGCTTCTCAGCCTTTTCAGCCTCCTCTCTCTTACGAGCTTCGGCTTCGGCTCGAACCTTCTGAGCAATAGCGTCCTGGAAAGATTGCTTCTTTTCCTCTCCTGTCATGGTCTTGGACTCTGTCCGTTCATGATCGGCACGGCTGGCGGTACGGGGAGGTGGGGTCGAAGCTGGGGTCCCACCTAATTTCACAGGTGAGGGAGTTGCACGAGCAGGAGATGCGCTTTGTTTATCGTAATGCATCACATTGCCACTGGTGGGGTCTCGAATAACTACTGTGGTTTTTTTAGTGGGAGGTACAACAAACTGTGATTTAGGGACTGGGCTGCTAGTAGATTGACTGGCACCGTGAGATGGTCCTTGTGCCATTGGTACGGAAGTCTGGGTCGGGCCGAGACTAGAGCCTGGCCGGTCTGGACCCGAAACCTGGGAAGGAGATCGTGAAAGTGGTGTGGCTTGTGGAGGGGCATGACCTTGGTTGCTGTATTGGGGCTGCATATACGGGGCTTGAGGAGGGTGTGGCACGTTCATAGCGGCTCGAGGCGATGGGGGAGCCATGTATTGGTACTGGCTCTGGGGCATATTATATGGGGGTGGTTGGTAGTAATAATTAGGATCATAGCCCTGAGCAACGAATCCCTGCGTTTTAATAATCGTCAGATATTGTTCAAATTGACCACTCTCTGGCGACAGAGTTATAGGTGGGGTGAAATTAATTTGGGATTGGGGAGTTAAATGTTGTTGTGGGGGATTTGAGTGTTTAAAACTGGGGCCATTTTGTTTGTGGTATGCATATGAACGACGATTAGAAGAGTTGGGGGGGTAAGAAGATTGTTGCTTTACTTGTTGAGGGCCTATATGAGGAGGATATCCGCTATAATGCTGGGCCTGCATTTGTGTGTTTGCTAGGGGTACTTGAGACATCGGGGGAGTCGCTGGGTTCACGTTAGAAAGCGCAGGGCTTCGGGCTGTCTGACGGGGGGAATGAGGGAACGGGCCTAAGGATCGCTGGTTGTGGCCATGGAAACCCATATTGGGTCCGCCCCGAGGTTGGTTAGGAGTGGATCTGTAGGTAGGGCCTGGAGAGTTATATCCTATAGGTTGGTGTGGCTGTCCGTAACTTCTTCCTCTGCCACCGTGACCACCGTATCCTCCACGTGGGGGAACGCCCGGCATACCATGATGGCCCATATCGCCATGTTGTGAGTGGGAAGATTCACGTCGAAGGTGGGTGGACTGGGCGTTTGGACCCATAGGGCCCTGTGGCGGAGGTCGCATACCAGACCGCTAAAAACAAATGAAATGGTAAATCAGTATAACTTCTTGGTCGTTAAGTTTTATTTTTGACGGCAAAAACTTCATGCTTCAATCCTGAATAAGATAGCCACGGAAAGAAGGGGCGAAAGAGAAGCGTTATATAGAGTAATATCCTTACGTTCATATCACCCGGATCACCACCAAAACTGCCAAAGTTAAGGTTATTTCCTTGCCCTTGCAGGGATGACGGTGGCCGCCCGCCGCTTGCTATCGGCTGCGGAATGGGTGAGGGTGAAGTCTGGGGAGAGGTAGCGCGGGGATTCACAGATGCATTAACGCCTAGAGTCGACTGAGGTTGATTTGGAAGAGAGGTTTGGTTGTTCATCTGCGCTCCTTGGGAGTCCATTGAACCAAATCGCAAACTATTTGCGCGTCTTAAAGCACCAGCTGGGCCTCCATTCGGGATTAAGCTCGGGTTGATAGTGACTGAGGTCTTCCGGTCGTGTAGGGAAGAGTTAGGGGCGGAAGCGTTGGGGGCTGTGTTTCCGTTGACGATGGTCAAGCCACCGACGACGGGAGTTGCTTGTTGCTGCATGTGTTTGCCGTTCAAAGAGACTGAGGGCGACTTTCCATGCTGATGGGGTTGAGAAGGCGCACTTCCGGCGATTGTGGAGGTTGCCGCTTCACCCCGAACGGTCTGCGGAAAATATTCCTTTGTCATGTCAGTGGAGTTGCGGGGGGGGATACAAGAATCAGAGTAAGAAAACAGAAGCGCTAGAGCAAGAGGTGCTGGGATTCTTTAGTGTCTTCCACTCACAGAAGAGGCAGGAGTGCGAGCCTGTGAGACAGCGGTATTGGCACCGTTGTTACTCTGTCCCTGTGGTTGAAGACCCGGAGTCTGGGAAATCGATGTCATTACACGGTAGTGTGCGCAAAGAGTCGCCGGAACAAGGTGCGAGAAAAATTAATAGGGGCGTAATTTAAAGAGAAACGGAATAAAGAGGTTGTCAAGAAGCAGGCTGGGAATGTGTGCGCCCAGCAGATTCCAGATCTGGCTCGAGACGAGAGTGAGAAGCGTATTAACTAAATCGTCGGATGGACGCGACCGGGAGGGGTGAAAGGCTGCAGACAATAAAACGGTATAATCAACTCGATAAGGAGGTCGAAAAAAAAGTGGATATTGCCCTTTTCGCAGAATGATGAGGCCAATCAGCAAGAAGGTTTGGCACACAAAAACCTACACAGCGAAGAGAAGAGAAACAAAAATTGTCAGTTTTCTTGGGTTTTTGGGCTTTCGGGTTTTTTATGCACAACGTGGGTTGATTGGATCGATTTGTCGTCGCAGTGAAACGAGGGAGCCTTGTAACCAACAGCAACGGAAGTAAGAGGCGAGGGTAGGGGGAGAAGGAGAAATGGGACGGGCAGCAGTGTAAGGAGATGCCGTTACCTGGTGAGATGGATCAACGAGACACCCGATCGAAAATAGTGGCTGTAATTCCAGACACCGGCACAGCGAGAAACGGAAGATACGGGATTTTTGGATGGTAAAGGAAAAAAGGCAACGGATGGAACAGAAGAAACTGAACTATCCGCGATCGTCCTGCTTCAGAGAAAGAAGAGGATCCGCCGGTAAATCAAAAGTTGATTTGATGTGTTGATAAAAAAAAAAGAGGGGG